ATACTACTATCTCCTCCTATAATACTACTATCTCCTCCTATAATACTACTATCTCCTCCTCATATAATACTACTATCTCCTCCTCATATAATACTACTATCTCCTCCTCCTATAATACTACTATCTCCTCCTCCTATAATACTACTATCTCCTCCTCCTATAATACTACTATCTCCTCCTCCTATAATACTACTATCTCCTCCTCCTATAATACTACTATCTCCTCCTCCTATAATACTATCTCCTCCTCCTATAATACTATCTCCTCCTCATATAATACTATCTCCTCCTCATATAATACTATCTCCTCCTCATATAATACTATCTCCGCCTCATATAATACTATCTCCTCCTCATATAATACTATCTCCTCCTCATATAATACTATCTCCTCCTCATATAATACTATCTCCTCCTCATATAATACTATCTCCTCCTATAATACTATCTCCTCATATAATATCTCCTCATATAATAATAATATCTCCTCCTATAATAATATCTCCTCATATAATAATAATAATAATAATATTATTATTATTATTATTATTATTATTATTATTATATGAGGAGATATTATTATTATTATATGAGGAGTTATTATTATTTATTATTATTATTATTATTATATGAGGAATTATTATTATTATTATTATTATTATTATATGAGGAGATATTATTATTATTATTATTATTATTATTATTATATGAGGAGTTATTATTATTATATGAGGAGATATTATTATTATTATTATTATGAGGAGATATTATTATTATTATTATTATGAGGAGATATTATTATTATTATTATCTCCTCATAATAATAATAATAATAATAATATCTCCTCATGTAATAATATCTCCTCATATAATAATAATAACTCCTCATATAATAATAATAATAACTCCTCATATAATAATAATAATAATAATACTATCTCCTCCTATAATACTATCTCCTCCTATAATACTATCTCCTCCTATAATACTATCTCCTCCTATAATACTATCTCCTCCTATAATACTATCTCCTCCTATAATACTATCTCCTCCTATAATACTATCTCCTCCTAAAATACTATCTCCTCCTATAATAATAATATCTCCTCCTATAATAATAATATCTCCTCCTATAATAATAATATCTCCTCCTATAATAATAATATCTCCTCCTATAATAATACTATCTCCTCCTATAATAATACTATCTCCTCCTCCTATAATACTATCTCCTCCTCATATAATACTATCTCCTCCTCATATAATACTATCTCCTCCTCATATAATAATATCTCCTCATATAATAATAATAATAATAATAATAATATCTCCTCATATAATAATAATAATAATAATATCTCCTCATATAATAATAATAATAATAATATCTCCTCATATAATAATAACTCCTCATATAATAATAATAATAATAATAATAATATCTCCTCATATAATAATAATAATATCTCCTCCTATAATATCTCCTCATATAATAATAATAATAATAATAATTATAATAATAATAACTCCTTATATAATAATATCTCCTCATATAATAACTCCTCATATAATAATAATAATAATAATAATACTATCTCCTCCTCATATAATACTATCTCCTCCTCATATAATACTATCTCCTCCTAATATAATAATATCTCCTCATAATAATATCTCTGCATATAATAATAATAATATCTCCTCATATAATGCTAATATTATTATATGAGAAGATATTATTATTATTATTATTATTATTATTATATGAGGAGATATTATTATTATTATTATTATTATTATTATTATATGAGGAGATATTATTATTATATGAGGAGATATTATTATTATTATTATTATTATTATTATTATTACTATATGAGGAGTTATTATTATATGAGGAGATATATTATTATTATTATATGAGGAGATATTATTATTATTATCTCATATAATAATAATATCTCCTCATATAATAATAACTCCTCATATAATATCTCCTCATATAATAATTAATAATAATATCTCCTCATATAATAATAATAATATCTCCTCATATGATATCTCCTCATATTATGATAATATCTAATCATATAATTTCTCCTCATATATCTCCCTCTTTAATATATCTCCCTATATAATAATAATATCTCATATAATATCTCCTCATATAATAATAATAATATCTCCTCATATAATAATAATATCTCCTATAATAATATCTCCTTATATAATAATAATATCTCCTATAATGATATCTCATATAGTATATATCCTCATATAATAATAATAATAATAATAATAATAACTCCTCATATAATAATAATAATATCTCCTCCTATATTAATATCTCCTCATATAATACTATCTCCGGTCCCTCTGTACGTATGTGGGTATTTAAACCAGTCCCTCTGTACGTATGTGGGTATTTAAACCGGTCCCTCTGTACGTATGTGGGTATTTAAACCGGTCCCTCTGTACGTATGTGGGTATTTAAACCGGTCCCTCTGTACGTATATGGGTATTTAAACCGGTCCCTCTGTACGTATGTGGGTATTTAAACTGGTCCCTCCGTACGTATGTGGGTATATAAAACGGTCCCTCTGTACGTATATGGGTATTTAAACCGGTCCCTCCGTACGTATGTGGGTATTTAAACCGGTCCCTCCGTACGTATGTGGGTATTTAAACCGGTCCCTCCGTATGTATGTGGGTATATAAAACGGTCCCTCTGTACATATGTGTGTACATAAACCGGTCCCTTCGTACGTATGTGTGTGTGTATAAACCGGTCCGTTCGTTCGTACGTATGTGTGTGTAAACCGGTCCCTTCGTACGTATGTGTGTGTAAACCGGTCCCTTCGTACGTATGTGTGTGTAAACCGGTCCCTTCGTACGTATGTGTGTGTAAACCGGTCCCTTCGTACTTATGGGTGTGTAAACCGGTCCCTTCGTACGTATGGGTGTGTAAACCGGTCCCTTCGTACGTATGTGTGTGTAAACCGGTCCCTTCGTACGTATGTGTGTGTAAACCGGTCCCTTCGTACGTATGTGTGTGTAAACCGGTCCCTTCGTACGTATGTTTGTGTGTATAAACCGGTCCCTTCTTACGTACGTGCGTATGTACGTACGTGCGTACGTATGTATGTGTATATAATCCGGTCCCTCCGTACTTATGTGTGTGTATAAAAAAACCAATCCCTTCATATAATGTGTGTGTATATAAACCGATCCCTTCATATAATGTGTGTATATAAACCGATCCCTTCATATAATGTGTGTGTATATAAACCGATCCCTTCATAAGTATGTGTGTATATAAACCGGTCCCTTCATACGTATGTGTGTATTTAAACCGGCCCCTTCATACGTATGTGTGTATATAAACCGGCCCCTTCATGCGTATGTGTGTATATAATCCAGCCCCTCCGTACGTATGTGTGTATATAATCCAGCCCCTCCGTACGTATGTGTGTATATAATCCAGCCCCTCCGTACGTATGTGTGTATATAATCCAGCCCCTCCGTACGTATGTGGGTGTATAAACCGGTCCCTCCGTACGTATGTGGGTGTATAAACCGGTCCCTCCGTACGTATGTGGGTGTATAAACCGGTCCCTTCGTACGTATGTGGGTGTATAAACCGGTCCCTTCGTACGTATGTGTGGGTATATAAACCTGTCCCTTTGTATAATGTGTGTGTGTATATAAACTGTCCCTAGTACACCTCTAATGGAAGTCACTCAGGCGGTCAATAAAGTGCTTCCTGTCTCAGTGCTGCACAGTGTGCAGCACTTACGTTCCATTTCTCCACGCACTACACGGGGGTGCTGCACGTTCTGCATATTGATTCAATGCATCTCTATGAGAAGATGGTGTTTGGTGCAGCAACACACACACACTCCCTGACAGGCAGGCAGACACACACACACACTCACACACACTCCCTCCCAGGCAGACAGACACACACACACACTCCCAGGCAGGCAGACAGACACACACACACACTCCCTGACAGGCAGGCAGGCAGACACACACACACACACACACTCCCTGACAGGCAGGCAGACACACACACACACACACACTCCCTGACAGGCAGGCAGACACACTCTCTCTCCCTGACAGGCAGGCAGACACACTCTCTCTCCCTGACAGGCAGGCAGACACACACTCTCTCCCTGACAGGCAGGCAGACACACACTCTCTCCCTGACAGGCAGGCAGACACACACTCTCTCCCTGACAGGCAGGCAGACACACACACACTCTAACAAGTTGTTTTTTTCTTTTATTTCAGTCTCCCACATTCTATATAGATAGATATTGTGCTTATATCTATATGTAGAACTACATGCAGATTTAATACCAATACACTCCTTGATTTCCTAGTGCCTAGATTTAGCCTGTTCACTAGTACATAGTGTGTTGGAGTCACATATCTACTAGCTCATGCCTGCATTTATTTCTTGAATAGGGAGTTGTGGCAAACTGAAAGTGGAATTTAAACATTTAAATACAAAATAAACAGATTGAGAATATCTTTGAGATGATGAATGTTCATTAAACTTACTAAGCACACTTATTTTCATAAACTGCAAAATCTACCTCCGCTATAGTCACAGCCGTCTCTGATCCCTTGTGCAGTGCCGGGGCCGGAGTGACTTCATATCCCGGAATTCTGCACAGCCAGCCAGCCTCCACTTTCCCCATGCCGGTTGTCTGTCTCCAAGGGACAATTCTTAGTTGACCTGGCACCTGGGATTTATCAAGCACTGATAATTGAAGATTATGATAGCTTTAGTGTACAGATAATCTTAATTTTAATAATGACAGGAGGCGAGTATTTTGCATAATCTTTCTTTACTAACTCCATAGCAGCAAAGAAAAGAGTGACAAAACTGAGAACCAATCACAATGCAGTATAGAGTATGAGGTGTAACAATGACATAATTTCCTCTAAAAGCATGTGACATCACAAGAACATAAAGCAGAAAAATAACCAAGGTAACGCGAAAGGTCCATGGTAAAATAATGTCAGAAAGTGTAAACTGAACGTAAACAGACTCCAGTGGAAACTTCTTGATGTCAATTGGTGATCTCCCATGACAGGAAGATGATGACACCTTGAATGGAGTCTTCAGTTCCTTGAAGTATCTGGTTAAACTGAAACGAGAATATGAAAGGGATTAGATTCCCAAAAATGGTTGTGTAAAAGCAATGAGATGTCTATCCCTTACGATAAATTTAAAATTACCCTTATAAAACAGAACGATCGGTGCCAACTAAAAACATCCCACCCATCTGGCATATCTGTATCAAATGTATGAGAAAACCACAATTTAGGCATCAGTACAATAATAGCAGAAGCAAAGAGTAGGAAATATGCGTTAAAACAGAGGGAGGGAAGTAGCGAATGAGAACAGGGAGGGAAAATACTCGCCTCCTGTCATTATTAAAATTAAGATTATCTGTACACTAAAGCTGTCATAATCTTCAATTTTATCACATGACAGGAGGCTTCGTATTTTGCAATTTTAACGCTGGGAGAGCAGAGAAAAAGCTGAATTATCAAGAGGACGGAAGTAGAACGTCCTAAAGGTGGATTCTCTGGTCCAGTCCGCCGCTCGTAAGATGTCCGAAAAGGAAGTGCCTGCTGCATATGCGGAAGAGGCTGCTGCCCCGCGTACGAAATGTGCTCCAAAAGTTTGGTCAATACCGGCAAGGGATATTAGCCATCTAACCCATCTGGCTAGCGTAGTAACCGAAACTGGACCGTAAGGGCGGACGTAAGAGATGAGAAGTTGACGTGTGGAAGGTTGCCGCAACGTCACGGTGGCTTCCACATAGTGACGGAGAGTAGAGACCACACAGAGCTGAGGATCCGAAGGGAAGAAAGGGTAGAAGACCGAGTGAGAGTTGGACTTAGTGCGTCGTGAGATCTGAAAGGTAACCCCCGCTGGGCAGAAGGTAAAAGCATCGGCGTTGAAAGCGCGTACGTCGGAAACCCGTCGGAAGGAGACTAGACCGAGCAGGAAGGTGAATTTTGCGGTAAGTTGGCGGAGTGAATTTCGTAAGAATTGTAGGACCCATATATAAAGAATAGGACCACGCCAACGTCCCAAAGTCTAGAGTATTTGGGCTCCGGGGGGGCGCCAAAGGCGCATGTCGCGGAGGAGTCTGCAGATAAGTGGATCCTGACCAACCGGAGACCCCTGGGACGGAGTATGGGCCGCTGAGATGGCTGATCGTACCACGTTGATGACTTCCCGGCAGT